CTCCCCAACAGATGCTGCCAGAGTTATCAAGATGTTGCCTGGGCTACAGTGTTTCAATTAGAAGAGAGATTGGACAGACGGGGGTTGCTTTCCTGAAAGCAGAGGAGATTGAGAGGGGACATGATTGAGAGGTATAATGTTACGATGGCATACGTTTGACAGGAAGAACCTTTAGTAGTAATTTTAGAGGAAGAAACCAGATGGTTGGCTCATTGACCAGTGAGCATAGATTTAAGGTAAGGGACAGAAGTGTTAGAAGACATGCGAGGAAAAACCTTTTCACTCAGAGGGTGGTGGGACTCTGTAACTCACCTGTCTGGAAGAGACATTAACCCTCACAGCATCGAAGAAGTATTTAGATGTGCCTCATATCATCTGTCTGCGTGGTGTTGATTAAGTGATGTTAATCTGCTGCCCTCCACTTTTTGAACGTCTGCAGAATATTTAATATGCAGGAGTTCAGTCCAATATCTTCAAGGAAGAGTGGATATCCAACAGTTCTGGACTCCCTCAGCACTGCTCTACAAGTGTCAAGGTAAATCATTGTGCACAAGTCTCTGCAGTGGGACTTGAGCCCAGAGGCTCTGACTCAGGGGTGAGAGAGTGTTAGTCATGGTTTAAAATTAAGGGTCAAAAAAAAAAAGGCAAGCTCAAGACTGCACAGAAGTTTTGACGGTGCTGAATAAAGGACAGTTAATTCAACAGAGTTTTACTCACATTTTCCCTGATGGTCAGATATCAATCACATTCAATTTGGTCATTTTCATCTTCAGTTGCACAGAAAATATACAAAAATGAGGAGCAGGCCATTTGGCTCCTTGACCTGTTACTCTATTCAGTAAGATCACAGCTGATCAGATTGTGGCCTCAACTCTTCATCACTGTCTAACTACAATTAAATAAACTAAATCTTATTTTCACAAAAGTGCCATTGATGGATTGAGGTGCCAGAGGGTTCAATAAAATCTTGAGTTAGCCCTGAGTTGTACTAGCAGTGAATTATTCTGGGGGCTGCTGACACAGGAGCTGTGACAAATCCTCAATCATCAACTGTGTAACCAATGTCTTCCAGAGTGACTGAAGAGTGCATTACAAACATGTCCTGAGGAAACTTTCACTGACAATTTAAGACATTAATTCTTTATTCACGAGAAACTCACTTCAATTGAATTTGTGGAGAGACAGAGGTTGGAGAAGCTGTGGGTGTCCTCATTGGAGCAGGAAAGATTGAGAGTTGCTTCGAAAGAGAACTGGATGATCATGAAGGATTTTGATAGTTTCTCCTTATTTACTCTGTTTGCCATTGCTACAAGTGCTAGGGTGGCATAGTGAGCTCAGTGCTGAGCACTGCTGCCTTACAGCGCCAGGGACCTGGCTTTGAGTCCAGCCTTGGATGACTATCTGTATGGGGCTTGCATTTTCTCCCTGTGTCTGCATGGGTTTCCTGCGGGTGCTCCAGTTCCCTCCCACAAACCAAAGATGTGCAGGCTAGATGGATTAACCATGGGAAATGCAGGGTTACGGGGATAGGATAGGGGAGGGGGTGGGTCACTCTTCAGAAGGGTCAGTGTGGAATTGATGGGCTGAATGGCCTGCTTCCACACTCTGGGGATTCTATAATTGTACAAGCGTCTGTAGCCAGAAGAGACGGATTTAAGACCCTAGCGCCCAAGGCCTCTCATTCAACTCTAGACACATTATCTCATGAACTTTCACCCAATCCCAGTTTGTGGGACCTCTTTCACCAACACCATTAAGGATTTCTTCCTCCCTAGTCTCAGTCAATCATTGTGCCCTTTCCCACACACAGATATCTCACCCTACCCCAATCCCAATCCCAGCCAAACAAGACCTGTCCCCTCAGAGTTCCAACCTCCACAAAATAACATCAAACACCTTCAAGTCAAGTAGAAAAAGTTGAATAGACAACATGAAAGTCATTTTCAGCTTTTTAAAAAAAAACTGTTAATGGGATTTGAATGTCATTGGCTGGACCAGGATTTACTGCATATGAACTAATTGCACATGAAATTAAAGGATTTGCTATGTCATTTCAGAGGACAGTTAAGGGTCAACCACATTGCCATGGGTCTGGAGTCACACATAGGCCAGACGGAAGGCCATCAGTGACCAAAATGGGTTTTTACAACATTCAGCAGGGGTTGTAGTTGCCATTAGGCTAGCTTTTAATTCCAGATTGTTTGTTATTATTGAATTCAAGTTCTACCATCTTCAATGGTGGGAATCAAACCCACGATTCCAACACATCAGCCTGGTCCCTGAGGATTAATAATCCAGAGTCATTACCACTATGCCACCACCTCCTTTCTTCAGCAGAAGTCCTTATGCAAAAAATCTCAAGATGCTTCACAAGAAGGTGACTAATCAAAATTTGATACTGAGCCAAAAGGAGATGACCAAAAGCATGAATGAAGTAGATTTTAAAAGTGGATCTTCAATAGGAGAGAGAGGTAGAGAATTGGACCGGTTTAAAACCTTAAGATTTAGGAGCAGAAGTAGGCCATTTGATCCATTGAGACTGTTTCACCATTCATGGAGATCATTGCTGATCTGATAATCCTCAATTCCACTCTCGTCTTATCCTCACAGCCCTTGATTACATTACTGATTAAAAATGTCTATAGCATACTTGAACTTACTTAACAACCCAGCCTCCTCAACTACCTGTGGTAGAAGAAAATTCCACAGGTTGACTACACAGAGAAAGAAATCCTATCACTGTCTTAAATAGCGAGACCCCTTACTTAGAGATTATGCCTTCTGGTCCTAGGGAAAACAATCTTTCCGCATCTACCTTGTCAAGTCCCCCAAGAATCTTACATGTTTTGATAAGGTTGCCTCTCATCGTCTGAACTCTAATGAATGCAGGCCTATCTACTCAACTTCTCCTGAAAAGACAGTCCCCCCTATACTAAGAATCAACCTAGTGAACCTTCTCTGGTCTGCCTCCAATACCAATTTTTTTTTTTTTTAAAGAAGGAGCCCAAAACTGTTCACTGTGTTCCAGTGGTGGTCTGACAAGTGACTAGTATAGTTTTAGCAAGACCTCCCTATTTTTATAATCCATTTCCTTTGAAAAAGGATGGGATATTTTCTAGCTTTGGGCCTTGGGAACAGAGGAGATGACAGATGACTAGGTGATGGCCTAGTGGTATATCGCTGGACTGTTAATCCAGACACACAGATAATGTTCTGGGGACCTGGGTTCAAATCCCACCACTGCAGATGGTGCAATTTGAATTCAATAAATATCTGGAATTAACAGTCTAATGATGAGCGTGAATCCATTGTGGATTGTTGAAAAACCCATCTGGCTCCCTAATGCCCTTTAGGGAAGGAAACTACCATCCTTACCTAGTCTGGCCTACATGTGACTCCAGACCCACAGCAATGTAGTTGACTCTGAACTGCCCTCTGGGCAATTAGGGATGGACAATAAATGTTGCTTAGCCAGTGACACCCTAATCCCATGAATGAATAAAGAATAAAAAGGACATTACCAAACAAAAGAGGAGCTGTACAAACCCAGACTAGGAGGCATGCAAAGATCTCAATAGGATATCTTACAGAGCAGGTAGAGGTTACTGAGATAGGGAAGAGTAAAGCCATGGAGAGATTTGAAATTGAGGATGAAGATTTTGAAAAAAAAGCACCAAAAAGAAATTGCCAAGATAGGAGACAAAGCTGGTCAACAGGAATAAGGGTGATAGGTGAATTGGATTTTGTGCGAGTGAGGATATAGACAGAGTTTTAAATGAACTGATAACTTACAGATTGCAGAAAAAAAAACAAACATTCGATCACTGACACTGGCTCCCATTTAAGCAGCATCTTAGATTGATATTTTAAAAAATTCACCACTGAGATGTGGGCATACCTATCTGTCTTAAAGACACTCAATGACTTGGAATCAACAGCCTTCTGTGGCAATGAGGTCCACAGAATCCTCTGGTTTAACTGTACAGGATGCAACATGTTAACTTCCAGCCAGCAGGATGAAAGTTGGGAAGCAATGTAGTGGAGGATTGAGGGAGGTTCGTGATTCCTGATGATGCTACAACCTGTTTTTAATACATTAGTATGCTGTGCATAGAGCAGTAGCTGCAAGGCAGGTTAGTGGGGTATTCAGAGGGAGAGATCTGGACGGTAGAGGGGAGGTCAGTCTCAATGTGAGCAGGACAAGCGCAAAAAAAAGGAAATCAAAGCGGGTCTCGAAGGCTGGTCACAGATAATAAATGGAGATTTGAGGATGAAGAGTGATGGGGTGAAAGTGCCAGGGGAAGATCTGGTGATGTGTGTCGAGGTGGGAAAGAGCTTGATGGTGACTGGGGTGTTTTAGGTCTGGACTGACAGACAGTTGGTTTAGGATGATAATGGATAGTTTGCGATTTGAGGTGTGACAGTAAGACCAGAGTTACATACCTGACCTCAGTATGAAGTTGTATTCCAGGTTCTGCGCCAGAACACTCTCTTTCCAGCCTAACTCCTCAGTCAGTCCATGGCTTCCTCCAGTCCAGGCTTCTGCTCTCCCAGACCCGGACTGGGAAGCAGGGGCAATCTCCTCTTCCCCCTTGACTCCCCAACGTTTATCTGCCTTCTTTACATCCAAATGTCTTTCATTCCTCCCACTATCACTTCTTCCTCCTGTTTATTTCTATGAGTCTCTGTTTGCTTCTCAGTCTCTGGTTGTCCCACTCTGTGTCTATATCTTGCTTTGACCGCCTGTATCAGACACTCTCACTCTCTCCCCCTCCCCCACGTTAACACCCGCCCCCCCTCTCTGTTTGCCTGTCTGTCTTTGTGTCTATTACTCTCACACACTATCTTTCTCTCTGTATGTAACTTGGTCAAAGAGGGGGTGACAGTCACTCTTTCTGGCACTGTGTCTCTCTGCTTCTCCTTGGTTTGTCTGTCTGTTTGTATCTGTCTCTCTGCGTGAGTGCGTGTCTGTCACTTTTACTGTCTCTCTATGATTGTCCTTGCGTGCCACTTTCTCTCTCTCACACACACACACAGACTGGCTCTTTCTCTCTCTGCCCCTTCCTGCCTGCCGCTTTCTCACAAAGTCTCTCTCTCTCTGTTCACCACTTTCTCTCTCGCTCTGTGTCTGTTACTGTCCCCCTCGCACAATGTCTATCCTGTCACGCTCACCTTCTCTGCGTGACTCACTGTCCCTCAGGATGTGTCTGCCTCAGATCCACACTCTATCTAAGTGCCCCGTACGCGGAAATTGACCAACTTCCCCCCGCTCTTGCCTGAAACTGACCCGGGTGAAGCCGGAACACTAGAAATGGACAGACTGCCTGGCTACATATCGAAAGCCTGCGATCCCAGTAATTTCCTCTCGGAGGCACGCTCAGATCCGCTAGTACCCACGCCTATTTAAAGGAACCATGTCTTCCGGAGAGAACAATTTGACTTTTTTTTTTGCTCGGCTCTGTTAAAAATAGGTAACAAATCTGATATTCATTTGACAGTATTGTGTCTTTCTGTTTCCTCAGTCTCTCTCTCGCTCGCTCTCCCCTCTCAGTGTCTCAATTTGTTTATGTCTCTCGCTCTCAATTTGCTTTAAAAGACCTAATTTTCTAATTATCCTGCTCACAGATGTTATCACGCACCCCTGGAGCAGGTAAGATTTGAACTCGGCCTTCCTGCTCAGGGGTAGAGACGCTACAACTGCACCGCAAGAGTGTCCCTAAAAGCGGAAAGGAACCGCTTTCCTCACTTAAAATTGGGGTTGAATTAGGGATGATTAGATCATCAGTCTAACGTTGTCCCAAGGTGAGCTTTCTCAGTCCTCCTAACAGTCTCTCTGTTCCCTCAATAGGTCCCTTTCTCTGTCTGCCTCCTCTCTCACACACACACACTGCCTGTCCCTATCTGTCTGTTACCCTCATAGTTTCTGTCTCTCCCGCCTATCAGTCTGCCTCTGTCTTTCCTTCAGTCTCTCCCTCACTACCTCATTAATTTAAATTTGTCTTCCCTCTCTCCCTCAGTCTCTCTCTTTCCGCTGTCTCTTTCACACTCTCTCTATCCCTCAGTTCCTTGGTCAGGCCCTCTTTGTCCTTTGTCTCCCTCATTTCCTCAGTCTGTCTCCCTCTTTCTCCCTCTCTCTCCTTCAATTCCTTAGTCTGTCTCTCTCTTTGCCTTCTCTGTCTCTCTCTTCCTTAGTTTTCAGTCTCTCTCAGCCCCCTCTGTCTGTCTGTCTCTCTCTCTCTCCCTTAGTTTCTTAGCCTGGCTTTCTCTTCACTCTCTCTCTCCCTCAGTTCCTCAGTCTATCTCTTCACTCTCTGTCTCTCTCTTTCTCTCCTTCAGTTCCTCAATCTGTCTCACTCTTCACTCTTTGTCTGTCTGTCTCTCTCTCTGTCTTCCCCTTCCCCCTTACCTTCTCTGTTTGTTTCAATCTTTCACGCTCTTGGTGACCGGAAGCTGTTCAGCCCATCATGTCCATGCTGCCTCTCTAAAAGTCTCAATCCAATTAGATTGAATATTCATCACATAAACAGTCCACTCCAGTGTTTATGTCCCACAGGAGCCTCCTCATTCTATCAAATTCTAGCAACAATTTCTGGAGAGCATCTCTGAAGAAGGGTCTAGGCCCGAAACGTCAGTCTTCCTGCTCCTCTGATGCTGCTTGGCCTGCTGTGTTCATCCAGCTCTATACCTTGTTATGTCTAGCAACAATTGATTTCCTTTTCTCGCAAATGCTATTCAATTACCTTTGAACGTATCTCTTTTAGTCATTTCACCACTCCCTGTGGCAGAGTTCCGCATTCTCATTACTCTCTAGGTTAAGATGTTGTACCCCTCAATTCAGGCCTGATGGTAGGGCAATGGTAGTGTTAATGTGTGAGTAATTCTGTAGCCCAGACTAATGCTCTGGGATGTTGGTTCAAATCCTACAGTAGCAGAATTTGAAACTTAAATTCACTGAAACAAGTGTGGTGTATGAAGCTTGTATCATAAGTGGTGATCATGAAACTGTTTGTCATAAAACTTCAACTGATGCACTAATATTAAAACTATGGCATCTTTTATTTTAATTTATTTTTGTTTGTGGATTGAATTAGGAAAAGGACTGTTTTACAACAAAGGACTGAGGAAGGAATTGCTGCGCTATTAAAAAGCTAGTTACTGGATGTTGTGTTTACACTGTTGCTTTGCAACTAGTGGGAGAGGGAGTAAAACAGATGGCACAGCACCAGGGTATCTGTACAAAGTGAGATTTGGCTGACAACAGGTTGCTGATTGGTTTATAGAAGGGCTGGGAAACCTGCAGCTTTTGGGGTACTAGTTGCGGCTTCTGCCCATTTGTCCGCAAATACTAAATCCACCTTTTTAAAATCTGTGTATAATTTTTAAATTTTTTACTGTCAAAAACTAAAAGAACATTAAAAGGAAGAGAACAGAGTATTTAATGAAGAATGGGAATTGCAGTATTACATAGTTGCTGTGAAAGATAAAATGATGTGTTTGCTCTGCGACACCATAATTGCAACAGTGAAGGAATACAATGCACATCAGCATTATACAACATATAAGGACCACAAATATGCTAAACTGGAAGGAGAACCCCGAAAGGCTGCACTTAAGAAAATGAAAGATCAAAAGCAGTAGCAGCAAGTATTTAAAACAATGTCAGGACGAGGGACTGACATCACTGAAGCAATTTATAAAGTAGTACTTGGAAGAAGAGGTAAGCCATTTAGCGATGTGGAAATCATAAAAGAATGCATTGTTGAAGTTGTATGTTTAGATTCAGATAAGATTAACAAGTACAAACAACTACCTCTTTTAAGAAGGACCATAACTGATCAGCAACCTGAATTAGCCCTCAGTGTAACAGAACAACTTCATATAATATGCCAAAGTGAAGACATTTATTATTCGATTGCCTTGGATGAATCCACTGTCATTACTGACTCAGCGCAATGTTTTTTTTTAATTTGTGTTATAATTGTGGATTTTCATTGGCACAAGGAGTTACTGGCTTTGGGTACTCTTACAGCGAGGACATGTGGAATTTACATCTTCACTATCTTCAAAGAAAAATCCTGTCAAGCGAAACTGAATTCATGTTAGTAAGAGCATACACAGACGGTGCACCTTCCATGAGAGGAAAACGTGAAGGATTTGTTGCGTTACTACGAAAAGAATTGACAAATCTAGATACTTTGATTTCCTTTCATTGTCTTTTGCATCATCAGAATCTCTGTGCCAAATCTACTGTTTTAAGTGATACATTAAATGAAGTTATAGGTAGTGTAAACTACATTCGAGCAAACTCATCACGGCATCACTAGTTTCACAACATGCTTCAGCTTGATGATGAAATTTTCATTGTGGATCTGCCATATCATTCTAAAGTGCATTGGTTGACAGAAGGACAAATACTTGTAAAACTTATCTTTGCAAAAACAAATCACAAGGTTTTTTGAGGAACTGAATGAGCCACGTGAATTGTCAAAAGAGGATTTCTGCAGAAATGCTGCATTTTTGTGTGATATAATGTCAAAGCAAAATGATCTGAATTTTTTTGCAAAGTAAAACAAAATCTATATATGATATGTGGCTAAAAGTCCAGGCATTTTGGAAAAAGCTGACCTTTTTTAACAAGGTGTGGAGCTGGATGAACACAGCAGGCCAGGCAGCATCAGAGGAGCAGGAAAGCTGATGTTTCGGTGTGGACCCTTCTTCAGAAATGGGGGAGGGGAAGGGGGCTCTGAAATAAATAGAGAGAGGGGGAGGCAGTGATAGAAGGTGGTTAGTGGAGCAGATAGGTGGAGAGAAAACGGACAGGTCAAGGAGGTGGGGATGAAGGTGAGTGTAGGTAGGGAGTTGGGATGGGGGTTGGTCAGTGAGGAGGGAGGGGCGGGTAGGTGGGAGGGAAGATGGACAGGTCAAGGAGGTGGGGATGAAGCTAGTAGAGGTGACTGTAGGTAGGAAGTGGGGGTGGGGTTTGGTCAGTGAGGTGGGAGGAGCGGAAAGGTGGGAGGGAAGATGGACAGGTTGTGTCAGGTCAAGGATGCAGGGATGAGAGGGAGAGTTGGTCTCCAGAAATTTCTGAAGAAGGGTCCAGATCTGAAACGTCAGCTTTCCTGCTCCTCTGATGCTGCCTGGCCTGCTGTGATCCTCCAGCTCCACACTGTGGTATTACTGACAATGATTAGCCTCAATCATTTGTCCTTTCCCCATTGTCACTCCCTTTAAGTATTTTCCCCAACTCCCGTTTGGATTAATCTACCTGTTCTTGAACGTGTCCCCTCAGGCAGTGAATTCCATTTCAGGTAAAATCAGGTATTATATAATCGTGGGAGATCTTTCCTTTCAGATGAAATTCAGATTAAGTAGCGATCCTGTGCTCTTCTGGATGGATGCAAGGAGCCTATGGCTGGCATTTTAGAGCAGGAGTATCTCCCCATTGTCCCCCTCAAAATTCAATCCTCAACCAACATCAGAAAGACAACTATTCCAGTCAAGAGTGTGTTACAGTTATGGGGATAATGTTGTGTGCAAATTGGCTGCCAATCTTTCCAAATTACGATGATGACTGCATTGCGTTTGGATGTGATAGATGAAGTTGAATTACAGGGTTTTCTGCAACACTGACAGTCTTATCAATAATTGTAGATTCCATTTTGGGTTTGGTTTGTGAGTCATGGTGCTGTGTTCCCTCGAACCAGCAAACAGGACACAGGCAGCTTGGCGAAGCACTGGGGTTTGGTAATTCCCTTTAACGTTATTATTTGCGATTTTAACATGATACACATCATGGTGTTGGTGTAAGGAACAGATTTTACTGATATCTAGGACAATGCATCAACTCAAAGGCAGTTTAAAGAATGACTGTTCCATTTTTTAAATCTATCAGTTAGAAACCATGTTCCCTCGTGCATAACATTTTGCCCACATCAAAGTTATGTAGTATTGATAAAATCTTGTCTTTGAAGACAGGCTGTTCATGAATTCTGAAGAAGAGTCATTCTTCGAAATGTCAACTTTTTCTCTCTCCAGGAGTGCTGCCAAACTCGCTGAGTTTTGCTAGAACTTTCTGCTTTTATTTCAGACATCCAGCGTTTATAGTATTTTACTTTTATTTATGTAGTTAAATCACATAAAAGGTGGATAAGTCCCTGGGACCTGATCAAGTATAGTCTAGAACTCTGTGGGAAATGATTGCTGGGCCCCTTGCTGAGATATCTATATCATCAATAGCCACAGGTGAGGTGCCAGAAGAGTGGAGGTTGGCTAATGTGGTGCCACTATTTAAAAAAAGTTGATAAGGAAAAGCCAGGGAACTATAGACCAGTGAGCCTGACATCAATGGTGAGCAAGTTGTTGGAGGGAATCCTGGGGGACAGGATTTACATGTATTTGGAAAGGCAAGGACTGATTAGGGATAGTCAACATGGCTTTGTGCGTGG